AAAATGAAGACGTGAGGGTCACAGAACTGTTTATACCAGGTTCAAAAGAGTGGAACATTGGGAAAATAAGGAACATGCTACCTCAATGGGAGCATAACATCCTTGGTCTGAAACCAAGCCTACTTGGAGCATGAGATAGTTATGCTTGGCTGGGACATCCCTCTGGAACCTATCAAGTTAAAAGGGGTTACCACACAACAAAAGAGGAGAACTTTACGACTACTGATCAAGGGAAATTTCCAGATTTCAAGTGGAATATGGAGATATGGCAGAGTAACACGTCACCAAAACTAAAAACCTTCATGCGGAAAATTTTGAATGGTGTTTTACCTGTTGGAGCACAATTGGCCTCGAGAGGAATTATGGAACAATCCCGCTGTGTTAGATGCGGAGAGCTCGAGATAATTGCCCACCTTTTTTTCCACTGCCCGTACGCGCAAGAAGTGTGGAGGCTAGCCCCTCTGAAAATACGCTTCAACCCCCTCGACTACGCAGATATGACTAGTGGAATCAAAGCCTCCAAACAAATGATCTGCTTACAACCAACTAGGATCACCTCCGGCCCCATCTTCTCATGGATTTGCTGGAACCTATGGTTGGCTCAAAACAATAAGATTTTCTCCGATCGAAACTCCTCGACCACCGAAACCATCACTAAATCGCTGCAGAACGCTCGCGAGTGGCTCCTGGCCCAGACACCAGAGAACAAATCCACCCTTGTTCCCTAAGACGAAAGAATTGAATCGCCTGAACTGTCCCTCCGATGCTTTTCTGATGCAGCTTGGAGGAAGGAATCAGAAGCCGCAGGTCTTGGATGGATCATCAAGGACAACACAGATCGAACATTCGCACAAGGAGCAAAAGCCTTGAACCACATCAAATCGCCGTTGATGGCCGAAGCAATTGCAGTCCGAGAAGCTCTCCTGCATGCGACAAGTCAGAAAATGAACCGATTCCATGTGTTCTCAGACTCTCAAACCCTCATCAATCTAATAAACACAAAGGGAAGGAACATCGAAATCCATGGAATTCTCCAAGACATCGAATCGCTATCCCTAGATCTACAAGTTCTCTCTTTTACTTTTGTTAGAAGAGATCAAAACTTCGAAACCGATGCGTTAGCAAAATCGGCATTAAATTTTGTATCAGCTTTAATTTTCGGTTTGCACTCGGTTTAATATCAATATAAGTTTGTGTTTTGACCCC